GGGAAAGGCCACCCACTCCAGTATTCTGGCCTGGAGAATTCCGTGGACTATAGTCCATGGGGTCACAAAGAGTCAGACATGACTGAGTGACTCTCACTCCACTCCAAGCACCCGACCTCTGGGCTGTGATGCCTGATGATCTGAGGTGGAGCAGAGGCAATAATAGAAATAAAGCGCACAACAATTATAATGTGCTCGAATCATCCCCAAAGTGCCCCTCCCCGGCCTGTGGAAAAGCTATCTTCCACCAGACTGGTCCCTAGTGCCGAAGAGGTTGGGGACCACTGCTTTAAAGTGCTTGTTACAGGAGTACAGTATAGTGATTCGCAATTTTTAAAAGCTATACTCCATTTACAGTTGCTATAAAATATTGGCTATATTCCCTGTGTTGTGCAGTATAGCCTTGCAGCTTATTTTACGAGTAATAATCTGTGCTTCTATTTGTACCTCTATTACTTCTACTGTAATAGTTTGTACTACCCTCCCCCAGCTTGTCCCTCCCACCCCTCCTCTCCTACTGGTAACCACTAACTTGCTCTCTACATCTCTGAGCCTGGAAGATGGATGGGGGAAGAAATGTGCATATAAAAATCCTTACCAGCCTCCTGCCTGACTTTTGAAAACCAAGATTATATTTATATGAAGTCTGGCAGTGTGTTACGGCAAATTAATAGATTAAGTAGATGTTTTCTCTGTTGCTAATCTTCATCTCAGAGCTGTAGTCAGGGCCACTGGCAATTCAAGTCTTTAAATAAATAAGCCTCATTAATGTATCACTTCTGTTTTATGAACAATGCAGCTGTTACTTGTAATTGGCTCTCTACCCAAGGTACCAAGAACTATTGTTTCATTATAAGCATTGTGAGCGTAAAATAGCACAAGAGGAGGGAACACATATGAAGAGTCGAATGGAAACAAAACAAAACAGAAACTGGATAGACACGTGCTGGTTATTCAGAAGTGGTACCAAAATATAGGAGAGTCGTTTTTGAGGAAGGTTTAAGACTGAATTTATCAATGGGTCTGTGGAAATCATGTTCATTTTAAAAGACAGCAGGTGTTAAAACAATGAGAAGTGACCTCCTTTGCACCTGGGTTACAAAAGCTGCCCCAATGTGTGTGAAACAAAACAGGACAATGATAAATTAAAAAACATCCTGCTTCTGACTAGTTCCTTTTTATTTTCTTCTCACACTGGGCAGTTTTATTTATAGATAATAAAGGCAGCTTATAAGAAACACACACACAGTTACACTCATTTCCTGGTGGAAGTGATGTTTATTTGACGTAAAAGAGCTTTGGTGTTTGCAGATTCTGTTATCTTTGGAATCTCATCCAGAAAGTAACTTTCAGATTGCTCATATCCCTTTTAAATCAGTTTACTAACATATTCTCAACAAAATTTATCAAATAAGATTTATTTCCAGTTCAAAACATCCTTTGATATGTGATTTAATGGACTGGAGGGAAGCCAAGGTTCACAACCAAAATGTCTTATGTTTGGCAATGTCGATTTCAGGGAATGGAGAAATTTGTAATTATCACTGTGGTGAAGATGGTATATCCACTGATCCTCTCATATGGAGCAGATCTTTGCCACCCATGATTTCTGTGAACCCCCAAATTAGGAATACTGCTAGCTGACTTGGGGAATTTGAGCAGACACCTAGACTCTCCTAGGACCTTAAGGAACTAGCTGACACACCACAGCATGTGATTCTAATTTGCGCCAAGTGCTTTACCTACATTATTCACCTAATCTTTTGCATAATCCTTGGAGGTAAGTGGAACTGTCCCTCTTACAAATTATAGCATTCATAGGGGGTGTCAGAAAGAGTCAAGACAAGGAATATTAGAATACCAGCAATCTATCAAAGCTTACTTTAATAATTATGAATTGATGAAACCCATGCTTGATTCATTTCCAGTTATGTAAGCAAACATAACAAGCTAGCATGGTATCAGTTTTCTTTTGTACAGATATAACATTAGATGCAAAAGCATGTTATAGCAGAGAGTTTAATGTCTGATATTTTAAAACATCCCAGGTGGTACTAGTGGTAAAGAGCCCTCGTGCCAATGCAGGAGACATAAGAGACATGGGTTTGACCCCTGGGTTGGGAAGATCCCTCAGAGAAGGGCATAGCAATCCACTCCAGAATTCTTGCCTGGAGGATCCTATGGACAGAGGAGCCTGGCAGGCTGTGGTCCACAGGGTCACCAGGAATCAGACACAAGTGAAGCAACTTAGCACACACTTATGTGGAATGACATTTTATAGTTAAAACATAGAAAATGCTCTTTACAGCTAAGTTGAGAGGAGAAGACCGTCAAATTCCAGCTGAACTTGAGACCTTTTCACTTCCATCCATCCCGCTTCCTCTGCCTGCTGCTCTGCAGGCCCATCTGAGGAACACGTGGGAGCTGAACCAAGGTCCACTCAAAGCCCATCAAGCCCGGGGAGGGACCCCAGCTGTCACTCCCCAAACCCCACGGGCAACCTGCACACCAGCCGCCCTCGGGGCTAAGGGAAGCCGCCTCTGAAGGATGAGTCCTGTCCCACGCGCTGCGTGAGGGAAGTGGGGAAAACTGTCAACAAGGCTCAAGTACTGAGTCTTCAAGAAAACATCATGAACTAAACCTCCAGAACCTTAGTACACAGGGTCGTAACATCCAGTTTTCCAGCTCAGGGAAATTCAAAGACATTGAAGGAGGAAGCTCACCTCAGGCTTTCAGGGATGAGGGCTGGTGGGGACGGGGAGCAGGAGGTCTGTTCTCACCGAGGTTCAGAAATATTCCCCGGGCCGCTTCAAGTCACCCTGGCAGAAAATGGAAGGATTGAGACGGGGTGTCTGACGTTCCAGTTGCCTGCAATTCCATCCATGGTCATAAAGCGCCCAGCTCCTATTTTCAAATGAACTACAAGCTTATAGTTTGCCTGATTACACTCTAACCTGTTTTTGAGCATCAGTGGAGTGATTAGAGCACTAAAGGAGGGACTTCCAAGGTGGCCCAGTAAAGACTCCACGTTTCTACGGCAGGGGGCACAGGTTCAATCCCTGGCCAGGGAGCTAGGATCCCACATGCTGCGTGGTGCCGACAAAAAATAAATTTGCAAATAAATAAAGTATTAAAGGAGAAAAAGTAACACCCTGTGCCTTACAGACTAATAAGCATGATCCTTATGCTGGGGGCTTTTGGGGAAATCTGCAGTTGTGCAAAGGATGGAAGGCACGCAGTGTGAGCCTGGGTCGCTCCCTGCAGAGAGGCACGCAGGTGTGCTGCTCTCTAGAGATGGATGTGCACCCCGTTGCCCCTGGGGTGCTGTGGGTTATGGAGAGGCTTACCCAAACTGCGTGGGCTGCCGACTCCACTGACCCTTCACAGGCCAGATTCCATCATATACATGGCACACAACTTGCCATTTAAACCAGTTTTAAGTGTACAGTTTGGTGGCATTAACTGCACTCACAATGTTCCACAAACATCAGCGCTATTTCCAAAGTCGTTCATCACCCAGACAGAAACTCTTGTATTCGTTCAGCAAGAGCCCTCCACCCCTTCTCCCCCTCCAGCCCCTGGGAACTGCTGAACTACTTTTTGTCTCTATAAACGTGCCTATTCTAGATATTCCACATTAAACAAACTCATACAATATCTGTCCTTTGTATCTGGCTTATTTCAAGGTTCATCCATATTAGATTAGATGAACACATTAGAAGGTTGTTCTTTTTATGGCTGGATGCTATCCCCCTGTATTTATACTTCATCTCATTTCTCCTCTCATCTGTACTTCTCGACTTTTCACTGGTCTCGCTGCCCCATGATCACGTCCACCCTCTGCCCAAGTGGATCTCCCTGGTCCACAGAGTTCAGTCCAAACTTATCCGGCAGCTACTGAGCACAGACACCATCTGGCCTCACGCTAGGATGCCAAGCTTGTTCCCAGATCAGATCAAAATGGAGACCCCCAGATAAACAACTCCCCACACCTGCTTTTAAGTCTTTGCCCAAGTTGTTTCCTTTGCCTGGAATGTTCTCTGTTTCCTCAGGTCAAAGCCCGTTGAAATTCCACATGCTGCGTCATCGCTTCTTCCCCAAGGGCACGGTGATGCCTCTCTCTTCTAAACTCCCAGGCGACTTGGCACCATGGCATTTAATCGCCTGAGACCTGGCTCTCCTCTTCCCTCCTCTCCTCTGGGAAGGCAGAATTCCCGTCACCACTGTCAACTGCACAGCGTTGAGTACTGGGCCTTGTGTAGAAGGGGTATCAATAAACAGCTGCCCAGTGACATCACACGCATCAGACAGAGAGCGATGACTTTTCCCAGAGACCTGGCGGTCAAATTATGAGGCCGTGCAAAAAGGCATTTTCATTCCAAATGAAATGCGTGTGTTAGCCGCTCAGTCTTAGCTGACTCTGCAACCCCATGGACTGTAGCCCGACAAGCTCCTCTGTCCATGGAATTCTCCAGCCAAGAATACTGGAGTGGGTTGCTATTTCCTTCTCTGGGGGATCTTCCCAACCCAGGGATCAAACCCAGGTCTCCTGCAGTGCAGGCAGATTCTTTACTGTCTGAGCCACAGGGGTCGATTTAGAGGAAATTACAGAAAGGTGAGTCAGAATAATGATTAGGGTGCCAGATGTCCAGGGAAGCAGAGAGTATGGCCACCAAACAAAATGAACTTGATTTTTTCCTGCCAGAAGAGAGACTCTAACAGGAAAGGACGCTGGGATGGACTAGGGAGGACAGAGGGGTCAGAGAGGGTGGAGCTTCTCTGGGATGTTTTAACTCTGGTGCAGACTTCTCAGGAGACTCACAAGTGAGGAGCCATGTCCCCTGGCTGGCTGAATCACCATGCTGCCCTGGAAAGCAGGGTTCAGTGCAGAGTAGGGACTGGTGTTTCAGAAAAGAAAAGCAGGTTAGGTTCTGGTCTAGTGAACTTCATAATGGATCCAGAACAGATCATTAAAACGATTTGCATTTGAGTCAGTTCTAATGAGGTGGATGAACCTAGAGCCTGTTATACAGAGCGAGGTAAGTCAGAAAGAGAAATATAAATATCACATACTGATGTATATATATGGAATCTAGAAAGGTGGTACTGATGAATTTATTTTCAGGGCCGCAATGGAGAAACAGACATAGAGAAAAGACATATGGCCAGGGGGAGAGGGGAGGAGAGGGTGAGATGTATGAAGAGAGTAACATGGAAACTTACATTACCATATGTAAAAGAGATAGCCAACGGGAATTTGCTGTTTGACTCAGGGAACTCAAACAGGGGCTCTGTGACAATCTAGAAGGGTGGGATGGGCAGGGAGATGGGAGGGAGGTTTAGGAGGGAGGGGACATGGGTGTACCTATGGCTGATTCTTGTTGATGTATGACAGAAGACCACAAAGTTCTATAAAGCGAATACCCTTCAATTAAAAAAAAGGTGGGGGAAAAAACCAATTTGTGGGTTCTTAGAAAAAGGAAGCAGGGACAAGTGGGTTCTCTACAGCAAAACACACAAGACGATCTGAATTTTCAGTTTCCATAGTGACCAGCCTAGTGGACAAGGACAAAGCTGCAGAAAGAGCGAGCTCTATACTGGTGACAAACTCGACTGCATCTCGGTCTCATGGACTTGTTGAGGACAAAGAGATGATACGACGGAAGGGGGGGTGGATAACGTGTCAGACTGATGCTCACTTAGATGCACTGCTGTACTGTCAGGCTCTCCAGCTTTCTCACAGAGGACATTCTCATCAATGGTCTGGATCAAATCTGAGAAAAGACAAGGACCTGGCTGGGATGGCGAGCATGCTGCATGACAGAAGGGGCTCAGCCGGCACACTCTGCGGTGATTTAGAGGTTTGGTGGACTGTGGCTGCCCAACAACAGATGGAAGGGGCGAAGGCCAACGTGGGGCCCCTGTTGCTGCCTGACGATGGAGCACCTGGAAGGTTCTGATCCATTGGTCTATGTCTAAAGGACACGGACAGTGAACAGAGATACGGGGCAATTGATGTCAAGGGAACTGGTGTTGAAGAACTTGATTGGGCGTGCTGCAGTCCATGGGGTCACAAAGGGTCACTGAACTGAACTGAACTGAACCCTGTAATTAAGAAGACTTGTGGGAAGCAGACATTTAAATGGGCTTAAACATTTAAAAGGCTGCTCCTGTAAGAAGAGGGCTGTTCTGTTTTGCCCGAGAGCTTCGATGGAAAAGACGAGTAGTGAGAGTTGTCCCAAGGCAAGTGGACTTCAAGAGGCCAGAAGGTCCCTCTCTCTGCCAGGGCGTGGCCAAGAAGGGGTGCTCAAGAAACAGAAATGTCCTGAGGGCCCGAAGTATCTGAGACAGAAGTAAATCAGACAAGTGCCAATGGCTCTTCTGGGCCTGTCATTCCCCCAGGAATGTTCCCAGGATAAGGAAGCCTGAGATTATCATTCCCCTGGGTCACTACCACCTCTGCTCCTGGAAGGCAGGATTCATTCGTATCAGACCGATCTCTTCCCATCGCACAGTCAGAACCACTGTGCTTGGAACAGAATTACTACTCAGTTGCTCAGTTGTGTCCAATCCTTTGCAACCACATGGAGTACAGCACGCCAGGCTTCCCAGTACTTCATTGTCTCCCGGAGCTTGCTCAAACTCATGTCCATGGAGTCAGTGATGCCATTCAACCATCTCATCCTCTATCGTCCCCTTATCCTCCTGCCTTCAATCTTTCCCAGAATCAGGGTCTTTTCCAGTGAGTCAGTTCTTCCCATCAAGGTGGCCAAAGTATTGGAGTTTCAGCTTCAGCATTGGTCCTTCCAATGAATATTCAGGACTGGTTTCCTTTAGGATGGACTGGTTCCATCTCCTTGCAGTCCGAGGGACTCTCAAGAGTCTTCTCCAACACCACAGTTCAAAAGCATCAATTCTTTGACACAGCCTTCTTTATGGTCCAACTCTCACATCCATACATGACTACTGGGAAAACCATAGTTATGACTAGATGGACATTTGTCGGCAAAGTAATGTCTCTGATTTTTAATATGCTGTCTAGATTGGTCACAGTTTTTCTTCCAAGGAGCAAGTGTCTTTTAATTTCGTGGCTGCAGTCACCATCTGCATTGATTTTGGAGCCCAAGAAAATAAATACAGAATGGGCATCAGTCAATGTTTGTCCAAATGACTTCATATATATTCAGAGGACCAAGAAGATGAATTTGCTCAAGAGACCTGGTGGTATGATCAGGAAGCTGCATAATTAAATACTGAGGACAAAGTCACCTTTTCTAGAGTATCCACATGAGTAAGTAGCAACTTTTTTTCTTAAAGGAAAATGGTTTGGGAAATACTATCTTCAGTAATATTTGTCTCACAGGAAACCAAAATTTTAAACAAAAACATCCAATAAGATAAGTATTGCTACCAACAAAAAGATAATAGTTAGGGGTGTGGTCTTTAAAGGTTACCAGGTGGTCCAAATAGCAACTCTACCATGAACTGGACGGCCTTGGATACAGAATTTACCCGAGTCTCTACCTGGAAATTTTCACATGTGCAAAATGGGGGTGAAAATATTACTCGACTCATAAAATTAGTAGGAAGATTTAATGAATGGATATAGGTCAGGTCCTCAACAGTCCCTGGCATAGAAAGCAAGGCTTGTGGAGTGTAATCGAAGAACAATTGTGTTTGTTCTCCTGGTATGTGGACCTTGGGAGAACTTGTCTCTCTTATACTGAATGCCTGCTCTTCTATTTCACAAAGCTTGTATCTTTCAATTGCTGGATTTCATCAACAAGTGCTTTATTTTCTAGAAAAGCTCATGGGCTGTGGCACGTATGGAATGTTGCCTATACAACAGTCTACACTTCTTGATACAGTTCTTTTACTATCTACCTCTCTCTTAATGCAGGTTAGCGCTGCTTACTCTGCAACAGTAATGGAGGTGACAGTTCTCAGCTGGCCCTTTTCTATCTTAAGACATCGCAGAGTGAGGCTGCAACACCGAGAGCCACTGCAGAGGGAAATCACCCAGCGTCCTAAGGACGACCGGCTGCTCCGAAAGATGAAAAGACCATCAAAGACGGGTGATGATCTTCAGCCACTGAATAATCAGCTCCAAAACAGCCTCAGCTCTATCCTTGTTGTTAAGGAAGATCATAAATTCTCCTATCGTTAAGCCATTGGACATTAACCCAGTGGTTTTCTGTTACCCGCATTTGAAAATGTGCCAGTTTACACAATGCTGTGCTTCCTGAGAGTTTTCATATTTTGGAATATTAACTACAATCACTAGAAATATCCTGGTTCACATTTTTCCCCAGGAACTTTAGAAATGTCGCTACCTTTTCATCTGAAATTGAAAGCTACTATGGAGAAATTCAAGACCAGCCAGATTCCCTGTACCACTTCTCCCTGAAGTTCAATAACATACCCAGGATCTCTTAAGTGTTGGTTGTTCTATGTCAGTTTTTCCTGGAACACAGTGAGAACTTTTGATCTGCAGACTCCATTCTTTTGTTTCAGAAATGTTTCTTTATACCTTTCAGCTGCATTAGTTCTGAATATGTTCCAGTAGGTACTGCAGGTTATCAAGTTTGCAAATAAATCTCAACAGATACGAAAGGTGATGACAACAAGGAACCCAAACACTCACAGTGACCTGCTAAAAACTAACATCCACAAGGCATCTTACGCTTACAATGCACTGTCGCCTTATTCCATTTTCATTAAGCCCAAGAAAGGTAGCATCTGCATCTACCCTGCACCCCTAGAACTGAAGTCAGCGCTTGGTCCAGAGTAGATACCCAGTAAGGTTTCGAAAGAATGATTGCTAGTCCACTTTACAGGTGGGAAGACTGCGGCTACAATCATTCATGACCTGGTCCAAGGCTAGGTATCTCAAAGTGGGGATGAAAATGGGCAAAACAGAGAGCGGGACGCTGGCGTGAAGAACAAAGAGCGGGTGAACGGGACGTGGGGCCAGTTCAGGGGAACGCTGGGCGGGTCCTCCGAGAGGCAAATTTCCCCGTGATGGCTCGTGACTCCTACCAGCGTATCCACCAATGGCGCAGTAGCGTCCGCCCGGCGTGGTTGCCAGGGAAACAACAGGCGGCGGCGCGCAGGCGCATGTTGCGCAGGGGGCGGGGAGCACGCCGGCAGAGCGGACCGCCCCCCCACCCCCACCCCTGCACTGCGTATTGCGCAGGAGTAGCGTCTCCGTTGCTAGGTTCCGCCTCGCGCATCTCGCTGGGTGGCCAGAGTCAAGTTCCCGAGCCTCCTAAAGGAAGGCTCAGGAATCCCCCGTCTTGGAGGCTGTAGGCATTCCCTTCCTACCGCCTTTCCCTTCGCGAAGTCAGAGGATATCCCCATTCCCAATCCCTCCCTCGGAAGCACCTTCCTCCAGCCCCTCTGGTGGTGCCCCGACGCTGAGCCACGCCTCAGAGGACAACAGAAGAGCTTCCCGGCAGGCGAGGCAAAGAGGGAAAGCAGCCAACATGTCGAACGAGTAAGTGAGGGGCTGCAGGGTTGCAGCCGCGGAGTGCGCTTCTTCAGGCAAAAAGATAGCTTGCTCTGCATCTTTTCCTTTTCTTTTCTCCTACACCCCTTATTTTTGCAGTTTTATCTAATAAAGATACACCTCAGCACAGGCTGTCAGCTTCTGTGGACAGGGCATGCCCTTCCCTTAAAGGCTCCGACTCCCCTCGCGCTCCCCCCGGCCCCTATAGAGAAGAGCCCCTCCAGATGCAGTGCTTACTTTAGGCCCACTAGCCCTTGTGGTCTTATTTTTGAGGAAGCAGTGCCTGCCTTCAGTTCATTATCTGCTTTTTTCTTAATCTTTCCCAGCAGTGTTCATTGCTTTGTGAAAGCACCCTGGCTCCTATATTTAAGTTAAAAGATCTTGAGGAAGCTTTATTGGTACCTCTTCGCTTTCCAGCAAGAAACCCTAGTCAGGAGGCACCAAAGAGTCTTCACCCAGCGATGTGCCAGTTACAGAGCAGCAGCCCAGCCATTATTGCATAATGGTCATCTCAAACACCTGTGACAGTGCTGACTCCGCAGGCACTGAAAATATAATAACTCATGACTCCCCTGCAATGTCAGAGCTGTTAGTATTATTATTTTCATTTTACAGTTGAGGACTCAGGCACATAGAGGCTAAGGAGTTTGTATACAGCAGGAACGTGATGCCAAAACCACTGCAGCTCCTGCCTGATTTCTAGCTGTCAGTAACCCTGATTTCCAGGTCAGAAAAGAAAAGCAGTGAGACTGAGACTGAGGGCTTGCGGAGTCTTGCGGGTGGGGAGATCGGCAGTTCGTTTTCGGAGATGTTGAGTTTGAGATGCCCGTTGGACATCCAGTGAGCATAAGTAGGCAGCTGACTTGAGTTCAGACGAGAGATCTGTGTATGAAATATAAATCCTACAGCTGTTGGCATAAACAGTTTTTATGAGACAGGAGATGAGTGTAGACAGAAGAGAGAACAGGTTCAAGGACTCAGACTTGGCTATCCAACGGCAAGAGATGGAGGAGGAGAAACCCGCAGAGGAATTACAGGCATGATCGTTGAGGAAGAAACATAATTGTGGAGCCCTGGAAGGCAGAAGGAAAATAAATGTAAAGTTTCTCGGAGGAGGGAGTAGCAGACTCTGTCGGAGGCTGCCGAGACAGGCCAGAAGAAAGCTGAGAATTGGCCAAGGGTTTAGCAGTGTGGAGTCCCATGGTGGCCTTGATCTTCATGGCAGAGATGGAGTAGAAAGATGAACTCAAGTGAATGTAGGAGAGAGGAAGAGGGGAGAAACTGTAGACGGTGTAAGGCTGGGTTTTTAAAGGCATCTTGCTGTTACTGGTGGCAGGGGAAATAGGGTCCGGAGACAGATTTAAAGATAGGAAACAATAGCCTGTTTGTTTGTTAAAGGGAATGGCCAGCATAAAGGAAGTGGGGTGAAATGAGAGGAGGAAGAAGTGAGGTGACGTCCTTGCTAGCAAGGGCACGGGCCCCAGCATGCAGAGAGAGGGGCTGAGGTCCTTTATTGCAGGAAGATGAGAAGGCAGGAAGCTGAGCACCAAAGAATTGATGCTTTTGGTGTTGGAAAAGACTCTTGAGAGTCCCTTGGACTGCAAGGAGATCCAACCAGTCCATCCTAAAGGAAATCAGTCCTGAATATTCATCAGAAGGACTGATGTTGAAGCTGAAACTCCAATCCTTTGGCCACCTGATATGAAGAGCTGACTCATTTGAAAAGACCCTGATGCTGGGAAAGATGAAGACAGGAGGAGAAAGGGACGACAGAGGATGAGATGGTTGTTTGGTATCACCGACTCAATGGACATGAGTTTGAGTAAACTCCGGGATTTGGCAATGGACAGGAAGGCCTGGCATGCTGCAGTCCATGGGGTCGCAAAGTTGGACATGACTGAGTGACTGAACTGAACTGAACTGAGAAGACAGGGTAGAGGCTGTTGGTAAAGATTCCGTTTGGAGGGTAGATGTCCTGTGGGGTGTGGAAAGATGACGCAGATGGTAGATGATGGTGACATTGAAGGGCCGTGGGCAATACCATTAGATGAAACGAGTTTCAGAATTATAGAGAGTGTAGGAAGGAGTAAGGAGAGTGGTCTGGAAATTGAGCGAGGAACAAAGACTTGGCCCTATTCCCTGCCACAGTCAGAGAGCTCTGAGACAAAGGAGGGTCAGAGGAAAAGCTGTGTCCTTTAGGGAAGGCCAAGCCTCCCTTGCCCTGGAGAAGGGAATGGCTACCCACTCCAGTATTCTTGCTGGAAGAATTCCGTGGACAGAGGAGCCTGGCAGACTACAGTCTATGGGGTGGCAAAGAGTCAGACACAACTGAGTGACTTAGACTTTCACTTTCTTTCACTTTAGGCCTTCCTTCGAGCAAGAAAGCTAAGGAATATTTCAGAAAGAGTACAACCAATTAGATAGGAAAATTGGAAAAATCTAAAAGTTTATCATGTATAAAATAACTTGAAAATTCCCATTTTGCAAGATGTAGATTTTTCCACTCAAGCACATGGTGTGTCTGAATATTCAAGTCTTTTTCTTCCCTTCCCCCAACCCAGGCACCTCACGATCCCCCAGTCATAGGAAAACTGCCAAGCTGTAGAAATAACAATCTGGTCTCTTTCAGCCGTCATATTCAGTCTTTTGCACCCACGGTCCTCCTGACTTCAGTATCTGTAACGTTTCTAGGTCATATGCTGAAGTCTGAAACCAATCAAGTACTTAAAAAAAAATTTTAAGTGGTCCCATGAATAAAATACTGCCTTCTCTTTACAAGGCGCATTTAAGATTTCAAGAACACTTTCACATCTGTTATCCCACTCCTCAGTAATCCTGTGGGGCATCCAGGGCAGGTGTCATTATCCAGATTTGCCACTTGAGCAAGTGAAGACACGAGGTTAAGTGACCCGCCTGAGACCAACTACCTCAGGAGACGGGTTCTGCTTTTAAACTCAGAGTGCTCACATGTTTAAAAACCGCCGTGCCATACCCCCAGAGAAATAAGAACACAGGTCCACAGAACAGCTTTCACAGGGATACTCAGAGCAGCATCACTCCCCAGACCCAAAGAGCAGAAACTCGCCATGTGTCCCTCAACTGATGAGCAGATAAACAGAATGTGGGATATACCCGCAATGGAACATTATTGATCAATAAACCGAAATGAAGTGACGATACACACCACAGCCCAGTGGGCCCTGGAAACATTATGCTGAGTGGGAGGAGTTGATCACCCAGGGCCACCTGTTATATGATTCCGCTTAGGTGGAACGTCCAGAACAGGCAGGTAAATAGAGACAGATTAGATGAGTGGTTTCCAGGGGCCTGGGAGGATGGGGATAATGGCAAATAGGGAATGACTGCTCTCGGACACGGGGGTTTCTGTTCCGAGTGACCAAAATGGTCTGAAATCAGAGAAGGGTGGTGAAGGGTGCACAACTCTGTGGATGAAAACCACTGATTTCTGCAGTTTCAGAGGGTGAACTTGTGGTATGTGACTTCCATCTCAGTAATGGTCTCAGTAATGGAAACATCATCTTGCCCCCTTCCTTGTTTCAGGTTGTCTTCCTGGGCGCTGGCTCAGTGGAAGGGTGCTGAGACTTTGAGCTCAAGGCAGGGCGGGAGTCAGGCTGGACTGGGGCTGCGAGGGAAGTGGG